TTTTCCCAAAAAAGGACCTTAAAATACATTCTAAACATTAGGTCAATTCATCTTCTAATTTTTAAGGTAAAGTAATAAGTAACAACAATGACAGAAACAGTTATCATTTCAGGATCTGTTATGTACCACGAAATATAAGTGGCAAAGAGCAGGAACTCTAAAGCCAGAGTGCCAGGACTGAATTGGCTTTACTATGTCCTAGCTGTGTGATTTGGGGCAAAAGTTGCTTCATCTCTCAGTGCTTTGGTTTCCTCATTTGCAAAGTAAGGATTAAAAACAGACTCTATCTTAGAGTTAAGACCCCCTAAAGGACCTAGAAGAGTACCAGGTACATAATGAGCATCATCTGTGTATTTGCTTTATTATTATGGGGTGGGCACTACAAACTCTGGTTTACAGATGAGGAAAACAGGTTCAGGTCAGAGAGAGTCTGTGAAAGGCCCATTCGGATGATCCCAGGTCTGCTGAATTCCAAAGCCTGTTACACTCTTCTCGCTGGGTTCTGCTGCAAGCACAGGCAGCATCTGTCCCCCTTTGTCTGAAGGCCCACTATTTCTCAAGGTTAGGAGCTAAAGCGTTCCAGATAATTATGGAATTACTTAGACAAGACTGTCCTTGTCTCAGTCCTGCGCCAGTGTGCACTCAGCATTGAGGAAGTAAAGGAAGCCAAAGTCACTACCTCTCCCTTCCAGGCCTTATACTCAATCTGAAGAGACAAAACAAGCACATAACACACACGAAAGCAAATTGAAGGTAACACAACAGGCTGCAATTTCATAATGGCTAAAGGAAGGAAATGAAGTTGAGTGCACTGTGTGATAAAGAAACAGAGCCACAGCACACATATCTAACTTAGGACTAACTCAACCACATGCACGGGGGGGAAATGTAAACAGTGCAAGAGTCTGGGCCAGGCACTCCACTCTCCCAACAGACGCCCTGGAATGAGAGGGAGGACTTGAACCTGCTGCTCCCTTTGTCCTGGACCCGGCTTGATTTAAGCGGAGAGCAGATCTGGTGCTTGAAAATACAGTGAAGCCCTATCACATGTTTCATCTACATGGATCCAGAGAAAAAAGTAAGACTGCTTATTATAATGCCTCCTGCACTTAATACGAGCATCCATTGGGCAATGGATGAAACCAAGCCTGAAACAGACAGTGACAGTGGCCGAAACTGTGGAAGGTAAGTGGTTTTATGGGTTCGTGACCATTAAAAAGAAACTGAACGCCTTGTCCAATGTGTGATGATACCTTTATCTGCCCTCTCAAAGAAATTGAGGAATTAGATGAGGACAAAGGAAAACACAGACCAAGGGAGAGTTATAGAAATTGGTAAATCAATTACAAAGATAACTATGAAAAATAAGAATCAGCAAGTTGGAACCTTCACAGAATTAACCAAGTATGCTAAGCAGCGGGCACCTGGGTGGCTCAGTTGGTTAAGCGACTGCCTTCAGCTCAGGTCATGATCCTGGAGTCCCGGGATCGAGTCCCGCATCGGACTCCCTGCTCGGCAGGGAGTCTGCTTCTCCCTCTGACCCTCTTCCCTCTCGTGCTCTCTATCTCTCATTCTCTCCCTCTCAAATAAATAAATAAAATCTTAAAAAAAAAGTATGCTAAGCAGCAAAACACTAGAATAATTTTTAAATAAGATCCCTCAATGGAATTACATACTGAGCATGATTCTATACCCCCATCACACACACATTGCTGTAAAGCATTCACAACAAAACTATGTATGTCGCATGTTAATGGACAATTAGATTTTCTTTCAAGAGCATTTTAACTAAATTTTCACTTGCTGATTTATCCCTTAATCCAAGCCAATGATCACATTTGGTATTCAACAGAAGAAACAGCAATAAAAAAGAAGAAACAGCAATTTATTCTAAAATTTAAACAATACTGTGTTGGCTTTTTTGAGGCAGGATGTTGGAATCTAGTGAGAAACTTTCTAGGCATTTCCAGGAAAAAGTTGGACTTTCATGAGGTTTTTCACTTTTATAACTTCTGGTTAGTATTTAACTTGTATAGGCTACATTTGGAATTTTTTAAAAAAGAGAAAATGTTAAATGGCTAACTTCAAGAACTTCCAATTAAATTCTCTCGAACAAGTTATATTTTAATTGCCTGGTTTGGAATTTTTCCCTCAGATTACTGCTATACTCTTTAAAAAAAAAAAGCAAGAATGAGCTAGGACACTTGAAGGCACTCTGTATTCCAACCCAAGTGTGTGTGACAGAAAGGTTCCTGCCACAAAACATTCCCTGTTTTCCACAAAACCTCAAAGTCTGTGATCTGGTGTTACCTCTGCCCATGTGGCAGAAAAGGCTTCAAGAATCTGGCTCATGGGCCTCCTACATATGCAAACCCACCGTTATTATCACGTGACCATGCACAACCCACATAAGCTCTCTGAGCCCTGTTTCTTCATCTTCAAATTGAACAGGACTGGAAAAGTTTGGAAGTCACTCAATTATTAAACACAGAATACCCATATGATCCAGCAATTCCATTTCTTGGTACAGATATAAAAAAACTAAAAACATGTTCATGCAAAAATCTATACCTGCATGTTTACAGTGATTCATAATAGCCAAAAAAAGAAAAAGTGGTAACAACCCAAATGTCCATCAACAGATGAATGGATTAACAAAATGTGGTGTATCCATAAATAATGGATTACCAGCAATAAAGGAACGAAGTGCTGATACATGCTACAGTGTGTGTATGAAGCTTGAAAGCATTACCCTAAGTGAAAGCAGTCACAAAAGACCACATATTTTAAGAGACCATTAATACGAAATGTCCACAACAGCAAATGCATAGAGACACAAAGTGGATTAGTGATCGCCAGGTGCTGAAGGAAGGGAGAAATGGAGAGCAACTGCTAATAGGTACAGATTAATTTTGAGGGTGATGAAAATGTTTTAAAACTGGAATGCAGTGGTGGTGATGGCTGCCCAACTGTGAATATACTAAAATCACCGAATTGTACGTTTTACAAGGGTGAGTTTTACGGTATGTGAATGGTCCCTCAATAAAGCTGTTATTTAAAAAATTCAATAGGACAAACCAAATGATCTCTAGTTTCATGGTTTTTTGAAGGAGTTGTCTTGTGCTGAACTTGAAAGGCAAAGCAGGGGAGACAGGACTGAATTCACTATTCTCCACATCTGTAATAGGCATTTAAGATATGTTTCTTTAATGCCATGATAGGAGAACAGCATAACGTAAGATGTGGAATGTGAATAAAATTCGAAGAGGTAATCATCATTGGTAGGTACGACACTCCAGGCATGGACTGTACCATATGCTACACACACATACTACTATCCTCTTTCAAAGACAAGGAAACTGAGGCCTAGAGAGGGCCAATCATTTGCCCAAAGCCCCATTGCATGAAGACATAGAACTGTAAGAAGACTGGCCTTAAAGAGGACCGATGTCTGAAGCACACACGTATGTATAGGAATGACTGGGCCAATTGTCAAGGGGTTTGGAATACGAAGGCTGGTTTAGACTTGGAGTCAGTGCAGAGGCTTAAGCAGGGAATAAGAACTGAAAAGAGATTAATTAACTTGGGGTGGTATACAATAGTGGCTCTCAAGCTTGGTTGCCCTTACAATCACCTGGGGAAATCTTAAAACTCCTAATTCTCAGAACTTACCTGCAATTACATCAGAAATTCTGGGGTGGGACCCAGGTGATTTCAACATGTATCCAAAGTTGCCAACCACTGGTGACAGGATAGACTATTCAAACTCACTTAATCCCAACAGTGCCCTAAGTAAGTACTATTACTATTCCCATTGTTCAAAGCAGGAAAGGGACGCAGAGGGGCTGAGTGCTATGCACCTGTTAAGGGATTGTTGCTTTTCTTTTCCCAAACCAGGGCATACTTGACTCCAGACACAAGGAGCATTAAGTACGTTTACTTTACTATCAAAAGCAGGGCTTGTTCCTTATTCTTCCCTTGAGCAGACAAGCTAACACTGTTTAGGTATTCAGTAAATGTTTATTCCAAACAAAACAAAAATGAGGAAGGTAACTCCATTTAATTTTCCAACCCCCTGGAAACACCTTGCCAAAATCTGGTTAAAACCTCCCACCCAGTAAAGCTCGCCTTCTCCCAATTAAAAAATGTTTGAAGCTCCAGCGGTGTACCTCCTGGGCTTAGGGAGGCAAGGATGAAAGGGACAAGGCAAACAATCCAGCCCCAGGGGAGCTTTCAAGTTAGAACCTGAGACAAGCCACATAAACAAACGATAGCCCTTTGAAGGCTGTTGTTAGGATTCAGTGGGTAACTGTGCGAAGGCGAAGGAGCCTCGTACTGGGCCTGTCATGTGCAAAATGCTAGCCAGACGGGAGCTGCAACTGCAATAAATGACTGCACACAAGCCAGAAAGTGTTAAGGGCCCACCAAATTCCTAACTCCCTGTCTTAATTCATCCCTCTGTGGATTTCCTTGCGTGCCCCCCCGCCCCGAAACAACCGCATTAGCGGCTGAGGCTCCCCTCGGGCAGAGACGGTATCCGGTACACCTCGACGTCCCCAGCCCCCAGCACTGAACGTGGCATCCTGTTCTTTGGAAAGAACGAAGAAAAGTGCAAAGGGCTACAGGTGCTCGGAGAAGGCGAGAGGAGCAAATTCCGGTGGAACCAGGAAGCCTGGCTCCCCCCGCCCGGCCTACTCTGGGGTGGCTGTGCAACCGTGGGAAACTCTCTACGCCCTTTCTGCTCCCGCTCCTGAGAGCTTTCGGAGAAGGCGACGTCTCCTCTCGCACCGCGAGACGCGGCCACCACGCTCAGCGCCACGGGATGCCTCGCGCTGCCCGCCCCGGCGCCTTACCTTCCTCAGCCCCACGCGCTCGTCGTTACCCCGGCAACGCCGGCCGAAGGGCGGTCACTGCCGCCGTCAAGCAGTGCGGCCGCAAAGCCAGGCGAATGCGCAGCCGCAGAGTTCTCGGGAGCGCCTGCCCGGTCTTTGCGGAGAGCGCCTGCGCAGAGCCTGAAGTCGCGTTTTCTGTGTCTACTGCTGGCCCTTAAGCGGGTGTAAGTGAGTTCTCCTTCCTGCCTTCCCCGTAATTGTACGGACAGCCTCCTGCTCAGATGCCACTTTCGTTTAATCCTCACAAGATTCATTTTACCTATGAGATCCTAAGTTACTTGTCGGATGTCACATAGCTAGGAGGTAGTGGAAACGAGACTCTAACCCAGGCATGAAGACTTGGAGTCTGTCCCGGGGCGGGGGTGGGGGTGGGAGAGTTGAGGCGACCAGATTTTATTGTATGACCTCGTCCTGAAAAAAATGGGTGTGTAAGCTTAGCCCTGACGCTGACCTCAGCTTTCTCAAGTGTAGATGTATAAGCTGCAGCATGCCCGGAACCTGTAAGGAAGCGCCCTCTCGCAGACACCTGACTAAAAAGCTCCTGTGTGCCCTGGCTGCCCTGTGCAGTATGAAGGGCAAAATAGCCAGGGGTCAGAGCTGCATTTGAATCCCCGCCGTCCCCCTCACCGGCTGGGTGGTCTTGAGTGTCTTAAATCTTTTTGAGACTCAGTTTCCTCTACTGAAAAGTGGGTCGTTAGAATTATGCCGGATGAGCAAAACAAAAAGGTGTGGGGGAAGTGTAAAAGTTAATCCTGACCTCGTTATTTTAAAAGAGGTCTAGTAGGGAGTCCGAAATATACTTTTCCAGATATGAACCCCAGGGTCCCCAGCACACATCCCACACATGCTGGGCAGGTGGGGAAGGTGGTGACGGGGAGGGGTGGCAAATAATGCCCGAGGGACTCGGGGCTGGTGTGATGGGCTTCGAAATCCGAGCCTTTCCCAAACTTCTCTTGTCTCTGGGGCTTCACACACACTTGCCTTGGCCAGGAACATCCTTCTCCCTTCTGTTTGCAGCTGTAATTCCTGCCCCCCCCCCCCCCCCGGGGCCTCAGCTCTTATATCTTCCTCCAGGAGACTTCCTCTTGCCTCCCTCGACTGGCTTGGGTGACTTTCCTCTGTTTCTGCAATTGTCTGGTGCACCCTGTGTTGTCCCTGTTTCCTGGTCCTTCTTAACCAGAGGGCTTCAGTGGATGGTCTGCCTGCACAGGCCTTAACTGCTCGGCTTTGAGTTTCGACTTAGATTTAGATAAATCAAAATTAGAATAGCTTCTTGGTTAGAGTGTTGCAAAAAAAAAAAAAAAAGAACTTCAGCAAGGTTCACAGAATAGTGGCATCAGGATGAATGGGGGCAGGGAAGAGAGAGAGCCGGCCGGAGGCTGTAATATTATACCAGAACATACCAATTTAGGAAATACTGGTTTTAGAATGAGGGTTTTAATAATGCAGGGCAACCCAGAGGTTGTCCCATTCAATTTCCTTATTCAACAGGTAAGAAAAATGGTTCAGAGGCACTGTGAGTTGCCAGAGGTAGCAGAGCAAGTCTGAGGTGGGGCCAAGACTACAGCCGGGTCTCCTGAACCTCTCAGCCTGGTACTCTGTATTCAAGGGCTTGGGATTCATCCATAATGAGATCTCAGGTGGCATCATTGGGAGCCCTGTCCCCACAGAGTGTCCAGAGCGAAAGCTACTGGGTAAGAGATTCTTCCCCCAAGATTTTCTCCTCAATCTGTTTTCTTAAACCTTTTGTAATGGTCATTTTCAAACACAAAAGTAGAGAGAATATTCTAATAAATCATCACTTCCACAATCTTCAACCTTTGCTATCTTGTTTCTTTTATACTCTCCTTATATATACCTTTATCCCTCTTCTGGAATATTTTGAAACAATTCTAGACGTTGTTTAATGTCACTCATAATATTGCAGTATGTATCTCTAATAGATATTTAAATTTTATTGCATATTAGGTATTTTCATATGCATATGCACAGTTGATGTTTATATATACATGTATATGAAATAATATGTAGTTGATTCTCATAATTCACAGTAGTTCTATAGAGTCATCATGAACACCAAATCAGTGAATACTGAACCATTGCTCATGGGGAAATACAGAGTTAGGTTCCTGCCAGACTCTGGCCACAATATTTTTATCAACTGATCAGTACATAACCTTACTTTGTGTTTAAAGACACTGTATTTAATATCTACTGTTGATTCATTAACAATTGAACTCACAGCCAACAGCACTGTAACTCATGCCTGGACGAAGCTTATCTAACACAGGTATTTTCTCTGTAAGTCACATCACAGCCTTCTTGGCTTAGAAACACTAGACAGCACTTCACTCTGCTTGGTGTCCATTTTAAGCAGTGAAATCAACAGAAAGCACAAATATGAGGAAAATGTGGTACTAAGGAAATCGCCAAAAGCAAACTTGTTTATATAATATGAGAGCTGGGATCGGAAGAGTGTGTTGACTGTTGACTTTAGCTGGGAACTTGCATACTGAGATACTCGAATTTTTCTCTACTCTATGCATGTGCATGTCTGTGAATGAATAAGTGCTGTGAATATTGATTTTGGCATGACAAATAAATGTTAGCCAGTAGCTGCTTTTGCAAATGCAGAATCTGCCAATTTGTGTGTGTGTGTGTGTGTGTGTGTGTGTATATCCCCAATATCATTAGCACATCTAACAAAATGAACAATAATCCTTAACATCATTTATCTGTGAAATGTTACACAGAACCCCCATGTAATATTTGGGATATTTGGGATATAAAATCACTTATCTGAAATTCAAGTTCAATTACGTGTTCTATATGTAACTGGACCAATCTACCGATGATTTATTGGGTGTTTATATGGGCTGGCCATTTTGCATCCACTTTTATTTAATTCTCACCACAGCCCTGTGAGGTAAGTGCTCTCACCTCTATTTCAACCTTTGAGGTTCCCTATCTTTTCCAACTTCTCAGAGCTGGGAAGTAGTGAAGGCCAGATAAGGATCCAGATCCACGGGACTGCAGGGCGGGGGATCATTTAAATCAATCATGTTGGACACGGGAGGGCAGTGCATTGACAAAACGCAGCTTTAAATATGGAAATACAAAAATAACTAACAGCAAGCGTTGGTGTCAGGTCAGGATGGGTTGAAGGGTCTTCCGGGAAGAGGTGGCCTTTGAGCTGAGCCTGGAAGGAGGTTTAGCTTCGGGAGAGTGGTGAGGAGGCGGGAGACAGTGGGCTGGGGCACAGGGCAGGCCCGTGTACCAGGCAGGTGTGGGTTTAAGGTTCTGGCGGGGAGGAGCTGGGCCTGGCCGGGCAGGAGGTCGCCGCAATGATAAGGTCCGATAGGCAGGGCGGGGCCCAATTGTGCCGGCGCTCGAATTCCAGGCTTGGCATTTGGACTTTACCCCGCAGACAATGGGGAGCCACCGGCGTTTCTGAACAGGGCAGGGCGGCCCCAGCTGTCGCCCCATTGTTTTTCCCAGACAGCGCCGAACTCTGCAGTATTTCAGCGAGCCCACTAGATGGAGGTATTTTAGCAAATTTCAACGGCCCAGCCTTTCCTGGACACCGATTTCCAGAGAGAAAGACAAGTACGCGGACCCCGCAAAACCTCCGCGTGTTGACTCACAAGCATCCGCAAGGTAAAATGCGAGAGCTGTGAAACAAAAGTCAAACCAGGGACAGTCTAGCTCTGAAGTCCTGCCAGTTCTGCCTGTCCAGATGAGAGCTCGGGTCATCTCACAGCTTTGAAGGAGGGTCGTGGATGAACAGGAGAGGGCACAGTCTAACTGTGCCCTCCCTTTATTATTTAGCCTTTAAGCCTCACACCAGCCCTTTGAGGCAGGTGGTACGCTACTTTACAGGCAAGGAAACCGAGATGCTGAGAGGTACACTTGCTCAATTCCCGAGCAAGCGGACCCCAGGCCCGGCCCAGGGATAGAGTTGACAGCATATGGTAAGGTGGGTTGGGCCAGACCCTGAGGCATTGTTTTGCTGGGCCCAGGGTTCCTTGTGCAAAGGGTTGGGCATTGCCTTTTTATTTTTCTTCGGTTGCTAGAAAAATCTGTAACAAGAACGATGAGAGCTACGTGGCCCCTACAATTTGCACTGTTCCAGCGGCTTTTTCGAGATAGTCTCACTTAATTCTCTCACAACAACCCACCGAGTTAGGGATTATCACACAGAAAACAGATTCAGAGAGATGAAATGACTTGTCCAAGGTCATGCAGGGAAGAAGCACCATAGGGGGATGTGGATCCCAGGTGTGGCCACTTCTGTTCTGTTCTTAGCAGTCAAGCACATTCAACTTCTGGGGAAATTCCTTAGAGAATCTGGGGCACAGATGTTCAAAGAGACACATGCAGAGTTTTTGTTGTTGTTGTTTTATCAAGGCATGATGGTTTGCAATTAAAAAAAAAAGGCAGGGGGAATAACCTAAATGACCATTCCTGGAGAAAAGGACATATAAAATGTGGTATAAAAGGTTCATATGGTGGAATACTATGCAGCAGTTCAAAGGAATGAACTAGCTCTTACATACATATCAACATGGATAGATTTCAAAAATATGTTTGGTGATAAAAAGCAAGATGCAGAACAATATGAATCCTATGATACCATTTACTTAAATAAAAAAAAATCCCAAACAATATCAAATACTGAATGTACATATAGGTACACTGAACTATTTTAAAGTAACAGGGAGGGGGCACCTGGGTGCCTTAGTGGGTTAAGTGTCTGACTTTGGCTCAGGTCATGATCTTGGGGTCTGGGGATTGAGTCCCATGCGTTGGCCTCTGTACTCAGCGGGAAGTCGGCTCGTCCCTCTTGCTCTCCCTCTGCCCCTCGCCACCCCCCATTGTGTTCTCTCTCTCTCAAATAAATAAATAAATAAATTCTTTAAAGTAACAGGGAGGATGTGCACCAAATTCATTAGTTATCTGTGGGACTTGGGTAGTAGATAAAGGGACATTAGCTTTATGTTTTGTTTCTTAAAAAAAAAAAACAAAAAAAAACTAGAAGCAAATATGGGGTGGGAATATATAGGTAATTTTTCAATTATTTGTAGTATTTCTTCATCGATTTTAATTTTTCCACAGAAAGATGCTTCAGATAAACAAATACACACAAAGATAGAAAACCACAAAGCCAAAATAATTTTCCTGTCTAGCATCAACAACTTGATGACGGCAGGTGCCAGTCCTCTGGGTCTGAGAGAACCTGGGAGAAGGGGATCAGAGGAAGTGGCAGACAGATTCTGACCCTAGGAGGAACAGGCCTAGGCTCTGTGATGAGAATGTGGAGTCCAATGCACAAGCATTTTCAGCATAAGAGCCCATCCCAGCATCCTCCATGTGTCCCCACCACGCTGTGACTGCCGTCCCTGCCAGGGGGAAGCTAGTGCTACGTGAATGGTGGGAACCTCGGCTGGAGATGGCCATACCCTCTGGTTTCTCTCCCTTCTTCCCTTTCCTTTGGTTATTTTCTGTGACCTCAAGTTTACAGACCATTTCTTAAAGTGTGTCCTTGAGGGCGCCATACCCACTTGGCAGCACCAGGTGCTCCAACCACAAATGAAGGGGAATGCTCACTTTGCCCATCTGCTGGGGCTGAGGTGACAGGCATGTAGAGTTATGAGTGCTAATGTTCTCTGCAAACTATCAGTAACTACAAACAAATGGAATTCTTCTTGTTCCTCTTCCTTTACATTTGCATATTACACAAAATAATGGTATATAGCGAGCCTAGGACTTTCCTTGCATTGGCTCATTTCCCCACTCATTTATTCCTCTTAACATGCCTCTGAATGAACGCTTCTATTCTCCCCTTTTTTGTTTTGTTTTTAAAGATTTTATTTGTTTATTTGTCAGAGAGAGAGAGAGTGAGAGCGTGCACAAGCTGGGGGAGCGGCAGGCAGAGGGAGAAGCAGATACCCCGCGGAACAGGGAGCCCGACGTGGGACTCCATCCCAGGACCCTGGGATCATGACCCGAGCCGAGGGCAGCCACTTAACTGACTAAGCCACCCAGGGGTCCCTCTATTCTCCCCTTTTGAAGATGAGGAAAGTGAGTCAGAGAGGTTAAGTAATTTATCCAAGGTAACCCAGATAAGAAGTGACAAAGGTAGGATTTAAATGCCGGTCTACCTGACTGCAGGGCTATGTGCTGTATTGATACAATATGTTTTATGGTCTCATAAAAGGTCTCTTATCCTAAAAAGGAGGTACAGAGAACATTTGGTGGTTTTCTTCTTTTTCATAAAATTCTTTGTTCCAAGTTGCTGTTGTCTTGTGTGTGACCCCTTACAGTGCCCACCTCTGAGCTCAGGATCATAATTTCCTTGGTGGCTGGTGGCTGAAAAACTCTCTACTCTACTCACAGGAGACAGGGGAGAAGAGGCCCATCATTACCCAAACCTGGCTTTCCTGCCCCTGGGTATGTCAGCCTCAGATGTCAAAAGGCCTGAATTCCAGGCGAACAAGGAATAATGCCCTAGTCATCAAATTTGAAACCAAAATTCAGCAAAGACATGTCCTTGCTGCCAGAAAGCAAATCGCTTTTTCTTTTCTTTCTCATTTTTTTTTTTGCCCAAACAAAACATCCTCTTATGAAATATGTCCAATTTGCAATATTTACTTTCCCTTTATTTAATAACAGGAAAGGGTTTGCAGGACTTTTGTTGATTTTTGCATTTCTTATTAAAATTCTTAAGGGGGTTTTGGGGGAACTTAATCAGCAAAAAAGGAGGAGGAAAAAAGTCTCATCTGCATTCCACAGGCCTTATTAATGGAGGAAACTTGCTGTTTGTTTAAGAGCACTTTCTGATGGGAGAAGGCAAATCGTTCCTGTGAACCTTTTTCTTGACTGTACTTCCTTCTCAGCCGTCTCCAGAGCTCTGAATCCCTTGTTTCAAGCTTTCCGCCCAAGAAGATGGAGCTGGAGTTTATGCCCCACTACCGGGCTGGGAGGGAAGCTAACACTCACTGAATATCCCCCAGTAAGTCGTCTGCACCCACAGTCTCACTTCACCTCACATCAGCCCTCCTGGCAGCCCTTATTTGGCAGATGAGGAGACTGAGGCTAAGAAGGATTGAGTCTCTTGTCCAAGATCCCTTTCCTTGTAGTTTACATTCCTTGGGAGTAAAAGGAAAGGACTTCTAGTATTCGCGGAGTCCTACAGCCGACTGAGTCCTCACAGCAACGCTCTGGGATAGCTGGATAATCTCCAACTTTCAAAGCTCAGAGACGTGACGCGACTTGTGAAAGTTCACACAGCTGGAGGGTTGCAGAGCTGAGATTTGAGATGCACTCTGCCAGACTCTCACATCCCTGTTTATTTCACTTAACCACATTGCTTATTTGGGGCCAAGGCAGCATAATGTTTCTTGTAATGAAATACAATGCTCCCCCAAAGTTAAAACGCCCCCTGAGAGGCCTTAGTCCTGCCTTCCCGGGTTCCAGAACCAGACTGCACGTGACTTTAAGGACTTTGTTTTTATATTTTCATTCTACCAGAAATATTTATATACATTATATACATTATATTACATATAATACATTATATAATTATGTTTATTTCTAGAATAGTGCCTGTACAGAGGTAGTCTTAATAAACAACTTGTAGATAGATAGTCAAGTTCCAGTGTTTTCCTTCTGCAGAGAAGGGAAGTGAGGACTAGAGAGAAGAAAGAATTTGCCCAAGGCCCCACAGGGTAGGAACCAGAGCTGGGACCTCCTGATTCTCCCCACATGGTCTACAACAGAGAACGAGTGAGTCTAAAACAGAGATCTTCTCGTTCATTCAGCCCTACCCATGGGGCACCATGCTGGAGGTTAGGACACCCAGATAAACCAGACACGGTATTAGATGGCAGGGTCCTCATGGTCTAGCAAGGGAGGATGTTTGGAGAAGTTACAATCTCATAAATGTGGTAAATGCCACAGTTAAGGGTTTCAAGAAGGACGGGGGCTCAGGAAAGACTCTAGGGAGTAGTGGACATTTGTGCTGGGTCTTAAAAACTAAGGAGGAGTTGGCCAAGTCGGGGAGGGCATTCCAGGCAGAAGACCCTGCCCAAGCAAAGGCCTGGAGGTGTGAACACACGTGGCATATTCAGGAACCATCTAGCAGTCTGCTGGGGAAAAGCAGCAAGCCTGGAAGGTAAAGTTGGGTTCAGGCTGTGAAAGACTTTGAATGCCATCCTTGGGAATTTGGAGTTTATCGCACGTGTGATGGACACACAGGAAGGAGTGAAGGAGTGGAGTGGCTCTGTCAGATTTGTTTTAGGAGGGTCACTCTAGAGGCCTGGGGTAGAGGAGGGTAAAGAGGGCTGAGGGCCACCAGGAAGGAGACTGCTGCACCTTTGAGGTCAGAGAAACCCAGGCCTTGCCCACCTAAAATTCTCTGTCTCCTTCCACCCTTAAACAACATCTCATCTGTCCTTCCTGCTCCGGGCACCCTCCAGACCACACCCAGCTGGAGCCCCTCTCTCTAGTTCTTCGAGTTCTTATTCTTTGGGTGATGCTATTCACCCCTTCCCTTCCACGCCTGAGTCCTCCATAGCCGTGGATCTTAACCCTGGGGAAGTCCGAGACCCCCAGGAGAGTCTAAGGAAGGGATTGAAAAAGGCACAAGTACATAAATG